ACGGTTCTTTGCATTGTAGAATGCTTGTGCTGGCAGTGTCTATAAAAATGTGGGATAAGATAGTATTAAAAAATACAGGTGTAACACAAATAAATAAATTAAAATATTGATGGGCGTGAAATTTATATAAATTACATAAAAATTACATAAGAAATTAAATAAATTAAAATATTGATGTGGGTGGAATGCATATAAATAAATAAAAATATTGTTACCTAATCCGCTAAACTTGTCCCACTACGCAGATTACCGGAAGCATGAGAGATGGCATTTTTCCAACAAGTAAAGGATGCGTTGAGTTTTTTCCAACGACCTTAAAGACCTTGACTAGATCTGACATCTTTTCCATGTACATTGCAAAATGATTTCGTAATTTTACTCCACATTTCTCGCTTATCCATCTCATTACCCGTAATCGGGTCATGAGTAGTGTGAACCCAACAGTCACATAACGTAACATCTTCAATGAGCTTCCACGAAGTCATTTTTTTCTCTCAAAGTGTACAAAATATTCAAACATAGAAAGTGTAGAAAATATTGAAATGTGGTGTAAGGTGAAAGATGATGGTTAGCTATTTATAGAAAAAAAAATTTAATTTTTAAAAATTTTTCTGTATTTTTTAAAAAAATTTCACAATTTTTAATAAATTTTAATGTTGTAATTAACTGGACCGTTGGATTTGAAAAATAATCAAATCCAATAGCCAACGAGCTGCCACGTGGCCAACGGTCAAAATTCTGACTGTTGGGCCTTTATTTTATTTTTATTTTTATTTTTGGTGAAAAAAACGTGGATCGTTGATCTGTGATAGGACGATCCATTTTAAAAGCCAAATTTAATTTTTTTTTTACCGTTGGAAATCCAATGGCCTACAAAAACTAGCCGTTGGAAATCCAACGACTCTGAGGAGGGCCACGTAGCCCTCATCGGGGTAAACACAAGTGGGCTGACAAGCGGGCCCTGCCGCCTGCAACCTTGTCTCCTACTCGCACCCAGTCGTTAGTGTTGTGCACGCGCCAGCCAAATAGGCCGGCTTCTGGGTCTGTCCGAAATGGGCTGGTCTGTTGCCTGGCTTGGGTTGGGTGCCAGGCTGTTTTGCTGGCTGGAGCACTTGGACAGGGTGCTGGCCTGTGTTTTGGACAGGGTGCTGGGCAAGTCCACCTCCGATGGAACTGCTCTTAGAGCATCTCCACCCCCGTTGGTGAAGGGCAATGACAATTAAAGGGCAAGGGCAATAAAATTGCCAATTAACTTGAGTGAGCTAGAGGAGAGTGGAATTTCATGTGTAGGGGTGAAATCCGAAGATCTACGAAGGAACACCAAAAGCTAAGGCAGTTGTCTGGGTCCCTACTGACGCTGGAGTGTGAAAGCATGGGGAACAAACTGGATTAGATACACTGTTGACTCTAAATAGTAATTGCCTTCGTGCAACTCCATCAATTTGAAATGAGGAAGGACAAGGACAAGAACGATTATTATTCACAAATATATATATATATATATATATTTTTTTTTTTTGCTTTATGCTTGTAAGTGTGTACTTAGTAAGTTTGTTCTTTAAAAATAAAAATCTTTATTTAAGTTTGTTAAGTGTGTTTAATTTTACGATTGGTTAGAATTTGTTTGGGTTTTTTTACTTTCAAATTAATCTAGGCCGTTGGTTTCTCATAAATCAAATACGTTGGATTGTAACATATATCGACAATTTATAATTTTCAATTTTTTTAAGGTTGGAAATCCAACTGTCCAGGTAAAAGGATGATTGGAAATCCAACGGCTGAGTAGCATTCCAAGCCATTTAGAATTGCATTGCATATGGGGGTCTCTTGATGCAGCTGCAAAGTGGCGGGTCCAAGGAGAGAAGAGGAAGCAGAAGGCTTTTTCGGCTTTTGGGAGTGCACTTGGGTGGGCCACAAATTGTGGCGGTTTCTGTAGCACAAGGGCACAGCAGTTGCAAGGGCAGCAGCCCACGCCCAATCGCCCTCCCGTTCTTTCGCTGTTGGAGCAAATTTTTATTGGGTGGGAGGGCAATTCCACACTGCTGGAGATGCTTTTAGCGTATTGTTGACCCTAGCATCATTTAGTAGTATTTTCCTACGCTGGTAAGTTGGATGTGTTAAATTTGATCATCGTGAATGATTTTTCAATACAAAATTATGATTAATTTATTGTGTGGTCTAGTTAAATTTTCAATCTCACTTAATGATATGCTCCAATCTCGATGTTACGTAGGCACCGATGTTGAGGTGTGATAGCTATCACTTAAATGGGCGACGTAACCATAATATGCATGAACACGTAACTAAAATTGTCAACTGAAATAGATCTATCGAAAAGTTTGGCAGAACTTCCCTGAAAATAGAGATAGGCCCAAATTAAAACATCTGCAAGCAACCATGCTTATTTTCAAGTTTCCAACACATCTCCAAAGGCCACACCTAATGAGTCTCAGCTATTACATGCATGATAATAGGTTTAGAGCATAAATGCCAGTTTACAAATTCTACAGACAGTGCAAAGTACTTATAACTTTGGAGTACTAGTCCACATAGAAATGGTCGTTTATTCGAAGGGATTTTAAAAGGAGTAGATATCCAACTCGGTAGGAATATCTCAGAGTTATGGGAAGGTGTCTTGACGTAGAATATGATCACTGCTACTGCTACCAAGTCCTAAGGGGACGCAAAGCCTAAAAATGTGAGTGGACGAAAAAAAAAAAAAGCTTTCTAAAATATTTTTGTTTTTTTTTTAACATATTAATCCCCTATTTTACAAAATTATATAGCTGCTACATATATATACACATATATTTTTGAAGTTTAAGCATGCTATAAAATTGAAAAACTAGTACTTGCATATACTGATTTTTTACTTGTGGCATAACATACAATAGCATACACTAGCATCAATTAGTATAATCTGAATAATATAGTCATGTCATTGCTGAGTAATTTTGAGATATTTACAAGCCGAGAGTATAAATATAATACCTAAATATGTGTAAGATGAGTAGCATAATCATACACTAGTCATGGCTAGTGTAAGTGGAAATTATAATCATACACTAGCCCTAGCTAGTATAAGATGAAGGAACATGTACATAGTATGAACAAGCTGAAACACTGAAATATAACTCATACACATGCATGATTTGTCCTACAGTTGTAGACTAGTACAATATTCTAATTTTGTGTAAGTGTATGCATCCCACAAGACAAGTAATAGGGAAAATCCATATTCATAAAATCGTCATCATCGTTAATCACAAAATATGTTTAATTCACAAAATGAAACTGAAATTCACAAATCTAAAATAAAATTCCGCTCATTGGTCAACAATCTAGCTGAGTTTGTCCTCTAGAATGTTTGAAACTGTTAGGATCTAAGCACATAAAAGGATCCATTAGCAAAACTCTATTAAAACAATTGAGTTTGGAGAAACGGAGTGTGGATTTGGGATCAGCGCATCGAAATACCCTAATGGAGGGTCCCGTAGTGAATCTAGAAAACAGTCAACAGTCAATGTTGGTCCGAGTCGATCGAGCCGGTCAATTTACATTAATGAGGACAAAGCGATTGAAAAAATTAGGGACCAATCGTAACACTTACTAGATTGAACACAAGTTCTTTATTTTCATCTTCCTCCGTCTATTTAATGAGCAAAACTATTTCCTTTAATTTGTGGGTCTAAATTAATTTTTTTCAATGCTAATTAGTAATTTCATTAACTTGGTAAAATGTACTCCATGAAAACTTTCATTAACTTGGTAACAATGTGCTCCATAAAATGCTTAAAAGAAGCTAGGGGAGTGCCTTTCACTTCTTCAAATGATATGTGTCATTAAAAAAAAAAAAAAAAAAAAAAACCCTAATGCTTTTAGTTAGGAATTATTGATGAAATATATATATATAATTTTAAAGTCATTCAAAGTCATGCTTTTGTGTGTAAAAAAAAAGGGTTTTATGTGAAGAAGTGAAAAATAAAAATTGAAAATAGTTACCAAATGATTATTAGTTCAAAAAATTAAAAGCGAAATAGTTATCAAATGACGCTTAAATTGTAGTTTTCAGCCTGAAGTGCTAGCAAACAAAATTTAAATTGTTGGTTTTCAATTTTCATAAAAAGTGAAAAGTAAAAAATAAAAGCAAAATTGTTATAATCTCTTTTTTTTTATTATTTATTTATCTGAAATTGAGTTTTCTTTTCAGTAAAGATGACATAGTACAAGAAGATTGGGGGAGCAAGGGAAGCCTCGTTAAAAACCTCTAGTGTAGAGGGAAAAAAGTACTTCACTAAGTTGCTCCCCACTTACATTCAATTATTATTCTCCAAATCTACTCCCAAAAAAGGAACGAGCCAAAGTGGCTCCTCCTCTATCCAAATATGAAAACCTCCATTGTGAAGACCAAATTTTGCTAATTCATGAGTTACCATGTTTCCTTCGCATCGTTGTCATTGACACAAAAAAAAAAAAAAAAAAAAAAAGAGAACCTCTTCTTCAAGATATCAATCTCCTCCAATATATTGCCATCCTAATTAAGACGAGCATCATTTGCAACAATTAAAATCCATTGCGCTTTTGGAATCCAATTCCAATATAATAGAAATGAATCCCGCATTGTATGCAGGCAATAAACCCTCCTTTACCGCGAACAATTCGGTTGTTAAAGTATCGAAATAACCATATAGTTGTGTCGCACAACCAGCCATGAAAGTCCCATCATCATTTCTAATAACAACTCCTACACCTCTGTGTTCAATCCCTTCAACGATATTGCTCCATCAATAGACTTTGAATAGGCCCCCTGGTGGGTGCTGCCATCGCCCCACACTTGGTCGATCTGGTTGGCATCGTGAATTCGGTTGTTATAATCTCTTCAAGTCATATGCAAAACTTTGATCCAATAAATGGTCGTACTCTCCAAAACTTATCGCACCCTTATCTAACAGACTATAGAATTATATAAAAATTTCACACGGATAGGCATTCCACATCAGCAGAGAGATAGGCTGCTCACTCCCTCTTTAAATACGCGCGTCTCTGTGAGTGCGAGAGACATTCGAGTCAGAAACAGAGAAGCTCGAAATGCTCAGCATATTGATGAGAAAATCAGTAGCTTCGGCTTCACGGAAATCACTCGCCGCATTGCAAATCGCACAAACAAGTAGGAATTACAGCCTCGGAGTCCTTCCCGATGGCGTCGATCGGAACTCCGAGGCCTTCTCTCGCAACTCCAAGACCATGGACGTCCTGATCTCCGACCTCCAATCCCACATCCAAAAGGTCGGCCTGTCTGTCTCTGTCTCTGTCTCTCTATCTCTCCATTAGATTAATTCAGTGATTGATGAGCAGGTTCTTGGCGGAGGAGGACCTGTAGCTGTGAAGAGAAACAAGAGCAGAAACAAGCTCCTCCCAAGAGAACGCATTGATCGACTGCTCGACCCCGGCGCTTCTTTTCTCGAGCTTTCTCAGGTTTCCCATTTCATCAAACTCCTCAAGTTGTAGCTTTCATGAATTGGGTTTTGATTGAAACACACTAAAAGTTGCAAATTTGGAATAAGATTATGAAAAAACCCCATTAAATCATATATATTATGATTGTTATCTTCACCCTGATGAAAAGTTTTCATCTTTTTGACGAATTGATTGGACCCAGTTGATATCTTGCCTAAATTGTTGTATGTTTTGTTAATTTTAAGCTTGCAGGACATGAATTGTATGAAGAATCCTTACCATCTGCTGGGATCATTACTGGAATAGGTCCGGTCCATGGACGGCTTTGTATGTTTGTAGCTAATGATCCTACTGTGAAGGGTGGGACTTACTACCCCATCACAGTTAAGAAACACCTCAGGGCACAAGAGATTGCCTCCCACTGCAAATTGCCGTGTATATACCTTGTCGATAGTGGGGGTGCTTTCCTCCCCAAGCAGGCAGAGGTCTTTCCTGACAGGGAGAATTTTGGTAGGATTTTCTACAATCAAAGTATAATGTCCGCTAAAGGCATTCCTCAAATTGCGTTGGTATTAGGCTCCTGCACTGCTGGCGGTGCATATATTCCTGCGATGGCGGATGAAAGTGTGATGGTCAAAGGAAATGGTACCATATTTCTAGCAGGACCCCCACTTGTGAAGGTTATTTTTAGTTTTCTCATGTATATGCTTTGTGTAGTTTCTGCATGAGTCCCGTGATTTATATGGTATGTTGCTTTTTAAACTTTGTTAAAAAAAAATGTGAATATTATGTATACAATCTAGATGTATAACAAGGAAATGTTTCAATAGGCTGCTACTGGAGAAGAAGTATCTGCAGAGGATTTGGGGGGTGCTAGTGTGCATTGCAAGACATCAGGAGTTTCAGACTACTTTGCTCAAGGTATTACTTTCTGCCATTTCATACTTTAAACCTCACATGCATTTCTTTGAATTAACTAGCTGCTAACTTTAGGCTCTCTTTATATGTAATTTGATATAGGGAAGTGTTATTGGTACTCCAAAAATCTCATTCTACACTCCTCACAAGTGTATTCTTCTTTCCTAATATAGAAAGTTTGGAGTGTAGAATGAGATTTTTGGAGTGCTAATAACAATTCCCTTTGATATATTAGTTAACAAATGCACTAGAAAGGATAAGATTAGGAATGAGGATATCCGAGGTAAAGTAGGAGTAGCTGAAATTGAAGGAAATATGAGAGAAAATCGGTTACGGTGGTTTGGACATGCGAAACGAAGACCTACTGATGATCCGGTTAGAAGATGTGATTATGGGACAGAGGTTCAAGGCCGAAGGGGTAGAGGAAGACCTAGCAGGACTTTGGAAGAGACTCTAAGAGAAGACTTAGAGTACTTGGATCCAACGGAAGACGTGACACATAACCGAGCACAATGGCATTCTAGGATTCATTAGCCAACCCCACTTAGTGGGAAAAGGCTTTGTTGTTGTTGTTGTTGTTGATCATGTGAAAGTTTTGAAATACCAACAGGACTATAAGAAAGTATTTTCATTGAAAGTTAAGGATTGGTTGAGCTTCATTTAGATTACTAGTTTATGTAATGTCAGGCATCGTCTTGATATTGATGGAGAGTTCTTGTGATATAATTCCCAATTCCAAAGGTCCATTCTTTAGGGATAGACATGTTGTAGAGTAGTCTTAATCGCAAATGAAATAGTTGAGGAGTATCGAGTGAGAAATAGGAAAGGAGAAATTTGAATGTTTTCTTAAAATAACACATTTGTTTATCTTTACCTTTTAGAATTATTTGTTCTATGCATGTATGTGGAGGGAGCAGGGAGGTTAGCTATTTGTGGTCACGTTTGTAATCTCACGTGTTCTTGTAGATGAACTCCATGGACTTGCTCTTGGGAGAAATATTATTAAGAACTTGCACATGGCTGGGAGAAGCTTGAAAAGCGGGTTGCAAAACATAAACTCTGAATATATAGAACCATTATATGATGTGAAGGAGCTTCGATTCATCGCGCCCACAGAGCATAAGCAACAGTTCGATATCCGATCAGTTATTGCTCGCATTGTTGATGGAAGTGAATTTGATGAATTCAAGAAATTGTATGGCACTGTAAGGGCATTTGCACCAATTTCATTTCTGATTGTTTAAATTTATTCCTTTAATATATGAATTTTGTAATTTCAATACCACCTCTGCAGACTCTTGTAACAGGTTTTGGTAGAATCTTTGGGCAGCCTGTGGGAATTATCGGAAACAACGGAATACTATTTAATGAGTCTGCTCTAAAAGGGGCACATTTCATTGAATTATGTACTCAACGAAACATTCCTTTGGTCTTCCTTCAGAATATCACTGGATTTATGGTATGTAAAGTTGTAAACTCGATGTCCTTTTCTTTTACTTTCTTAGTGAAGACGCTATCAACACCATTGTCAGTTTGCTTTTCTGGAGGGTCACTCTTTGAACTTGCGTAATAAGTTTCTTATTTTCTTTGGTAATCGGGTCCATTCTAGAATGAGGAAGCCATGCTTACCAAAAGTTTGCTCATTGAGAATAGGAAGGTTATATATTCATTACATCCTTTAAAAGGTTACCCAAGCCTTTTCATATTTGTGAAGGTATTTAAAACGTCTTTGAACTTGAACAGTTGGAACATAAAGGTCGATACGACAGCAGAAATGTACTTAAAAGGGTATAAAATGGATTCACTCGTTCTGGTCTAAGTTAGTCCTTGGCATTTTCACCTCAGGTGTATTCGAGTAGTGGCAGTCTCTTCTACACCACATTTTTAATGCATTGGCAGTATTTTGGTTCAGTAATATACAGTAAAAAAAAAATTACTTATGCCCTGTTCAAATATCTCAAATTTGAGATTATTTGGGCTCGTTAACCGCCGAATTTATGGAGAAAATGCTCTTCTCGTTATTACATAGTTGTGATATATTATATTCCTTGGTAGGTTGGTTCGAGATCTGAGGCAAATGGTATAGCAAAATCTGGAGCAAAAATGGTGATGGCAGTTTCTTGTGCCAAGGTTTGTTCTTCCTTATTTCTGTTTATATAAATGTTCTTGTGTGATTATGAATCTATTCCCCCTCGCGCCCTTATGTGAATATGCATGTCTTGAGGGTATTACTTTCTTCCTTAAAACTTTACTAGTTCCGCCTGATTTTGCAATTGTAGCATCAGCCCTTCTTCTCATCAATCTTAATTTTTCTCCATGTGTTCAAATACACGTATAGGAATGGCTTTCATTTTACCTTGAGATGAGTATAATCAATCATGATTATGACTTAATCAATCATGAATCTCAAATAACAATGAATGTTTACAGGTTCCAAAGGTAACTATCATCATTGGTGGAAGCTTTGGTGCCGGCAATTATGCAATGTGCGGTCGTGCTTATAGTCCTGATTTCATGTACCTTTGGCCGAATGCCAAAATCTCCGTGATGGGTGGTGCTCAGGTGACCCTTTTCAAACAACATACCTATGATTTGTTTTCCTGCATATTTCTTTTGCATTATCTTCTCGACTTTGGATGTCATGAGAGATCTAATTTCCGTTTTCAATTCAAGACAGTATAGATGATTCCTTGGACCATGTCACTGACAGCTGGCTTTAGGTGTAGAATGACATCTTTTTTCGTTATTGAAATACTCAGGCTGCTGGTGTCCTTGCTCAAATCGAAAGGGGCAACAAGAAGAAGAAAGGAATTGAGGTAGAAATCGCCCATCTTAGATAAAAGCGCATTTTAAGAAAACTACTAGGCTTTTGTTTATCTGAGTCCTGTGCATGTAATGCAGTGGGACAAGGAAGAAGAGGAGAAATTCAAGGCAAAGGTAGTGGAGGCATATGAGAGAGAAGGGAACTCTTACTACTCCACAGCAAGGCTCTGGGATGATGGAATTATCGATCCAGCCGACACAAGAAAAGTCATCGGTCTCTCCATCTCCGCTTCGATGAACCGTGACCCCGAAGAAACCAAGTACGGTGTATTCAGAATGTAACGTAGATGTAGTTATGAATTGATACAATGGAGCTATGTGAATGAAAACCCTTAGCAGCCAAAATGCTTGGTGCTTGTTTATTCAAATGTTCTCTTAGTGTTGTTGGCCACGATTATCTAACTACATCAATTCAACCACCTTTTTTTTTTTTTTGGTGAGAATCAATTCAACAAACTTGATGCATGTTCCTATTTTCTATCAAGAGCTTTGATATGGGTTGGCTTAGGTTAGTGCAATGCGTTTACTCCTGTACACATAAATTTGAATCCTACCGTACTCCCTTGCAATAAGTATGAATTCCAACTCAAGTAAATTAGAGCAAGTGATATTACAGGTTTGCCATAAAAACGAATCCAGAGCTTTGTCTTGATGAAAAATGAGAAAGTTTGTTAACAATTTGAGATAGGACATCAGGGTAATGTGATGATGTCAACTTATATATTATAGAAATAACAATATAACAGATTAAAGTAGGTTGTAGTAACAAGGGCGCCCGTGGCCTAATGGATAAGGCATTTGACTTCTAATCAAAGGATTGTGGGTTCGAATCCCACCGGGCGTGCCAGCTTTTTTTATGCCTTTTGTATTTTTGTTTTTTCCCATGACTCCAAAATCCAAATCATCGACTATATCCCATTTAAAACAGCAGGCCCCACACTTGTCCTGTTCTCCACCAATCGCTGTCACTTGATCATTCATCATAAAAAACATACCTGCCCAAAATCCCCATTCCACTCCCTCACTTCCTCATCGCACCAGAAACCATCCAACCACCATCTCTCTCTCTCTCTCTCTCCCCCTCTGCTGCTGCTGCTGAGCTGCCATGGCCGCCTCCACGTTCCACTGTTCGACTTCATTACGCTCCCCCGCCATCCAAAACCCAATGCTCTCGCCTCTCATCTCCCACTCTCCGCAAAATCTCTCATTCCCTTTCCGATTGCAGCAGCCCCAACGGGGACTCATCGTCGGCCTTCCAAATGTTCCTCCTCGCAGCCTCAAGATCCTCTCCGTTCGCGAATCCAAAGGTGTTTTCTGATCTCCCTCCTCTGTTAGATCTAATCCATTTTTCTTTTGCTCGTCACTTCTTGTTTGGTCCGCCGTTGATTGATTGATTGAATTGTGTATCTGAAAGTTAATTTCATGGATGCAAAATGTTTTGGTTTTGTGGGAATAATTTGTGTGCTTTGTGCCTCCGATTGGTAGTTTCCTCGAGGCATCTTGGCATTTGGGTATCCAACAATTTGGCCCCAAAACTTTCCTTCGATGCTTAAAATTTGGTTTTGAATGGTAAGATTTGGGTTTATCTATCTGCCTGTTTTGGCGATTGCATACATGTTTAAACATAAATTGATGGATTACTTGTTTCTGGGAACTGATGTGAGAGTAGATCCCACTGGATTTTTTTTTAACAAGACGATATTTTAAAGTACTCAAATCTACGGGGAAGGGATTCTAACTCGGATGGAGGGCCCCTTTCCTGCTGGCCTAACCCGCGTCTTTTATATACATTTTGTCCATCCGAATTGAGAGAGATTGGTGTGTATGTATGTTGGGGATGTTCGGTTTTGTCTCTTAACCGTATTATGTTTGTATATATGCAGCTCCGGCGGTTACTGGAGACTCATGGGACAAATCAGTCATCAACAGTGAGACCCCTGTCCTCGTTGAATTTTATGCGAGCTGGTGTGGGCCGTGTAGGATGGTGCACCGGGTGATTGATGAAATTGCGGCTGAATATGCTGGGAAGCTCAAGTGCTATGTGCTCAACACAGATGTTGATTTGCAGGTTGTTGAGGACTATGAAATTAAGGCTGTGCCTGTAGTTTTGCTGTTCAAGAATGGGAAGAAATGTGACTCTGTGATCGGTACCATGCCGAAGGAGTTCTATGTTGCTGCCATTGAGAGGGTTCTGAAGTCCTAACCTTTTTTTCGATTCGTGCCAAAGAAGTTAACTACAATCAACAACATAGTTGAATTTTTCCGACATGTTATTCGTAAGGATTCGTATCACTTAGTGCGTATTCAAATGAGACTACAGGTTGTACATATATATCTTAGACATGTGCCTAGTTCATTACCAGCATAGCTCTTAGTTACTGCCATCTCATCATTTCGTGCACCTGCTCTATCTTTTGAGTTTTTACCCCGTCTTTTTTTGGTTGAGGTATTTGTTGAAACTAGTTCTGTAACAAAACGTGTCGTTGATTGTTCATCCATTGGCTTATTGGCTTGAAAAATGTTTGATGATTGCAATGCAAAGTTAGTTAATGATTCATTGGAAACCAATAAGAAAAGGTTGATTGTTGATCTTCATATTGGTGTTTTATCCTTCTCCGTGGTATAGTTGTGTATTTGTTTTGTGGATGTTTGGAGCAAATGCACTTGCAGATTTCATCACATGAAACCATCAGAAAAGCTTATCTCGAGCGGATGAACACTGTTATGCTAATTACTGTTGCACATTGGCCTGGTGCGTTCCTGGTTTTTGTGGGTGAACCTGAGTCATCTGATCTATTCGCCTTAGCGGTATAACACGGTTATCTTTATGGATGAACTCTTTACAGCTGTTCAAACCAGGTAATAGCTTAAATATTTATTCTTTTTGCGGAGTTATGTTGGAGGAAATCGAACCTTGAAAAATTACTCGTAGCCATAAAAGTTCAGTTCGTTCTCGTCACTTGTAATACTAGGGTAAGAGAACATTTCCCATGATTACTCAAGTAAATTTGCATGCAGCAAGTGCCTTTGTCATCAGAGGCGGCGTGTGTGCCGGGTGCTACGAAGATTGGTATTTCAGACATTCTTGTTGTTGACGGGCGGGCCTTAATCGATGCCACGGAGAGTATCCCAAAGATTGCTTGTCGGTTTCATAACGTGGAGTTTAAACATGTTTTTTGTGAAGCGAATTTCGTTTATGATACTCTTGCTAAGATTGGTAAGAGATCCTCAAATTCTCATGTTTGGATGGTCTCTCTTCGTTTTGATACTCAAATCAACTTGGTTATGGGATAGTAAAGGTGGTAGTTGTGTTTGTAATTTCTCTAAGCATGCTTCAAAGTATGTATAGGATAATTAAAAATGAACTGCTAAAAAATTTCCTAGGGTAAGATTGTCCCATGATATGACTTTGTATTTGCGAATTCTAGCATGTGAAAAATCAAACATGAAACAAAATTGAACTTAATCTTACAAAAAATCTAATACATCATTAATGAAGGAACTTGGAATTAAACACCCTACGTTAGTAGTCTCCAAAACGAAGCAGATGCTTGGGTGCCTAAATATGTTTGCCGAAACTTCGGTCGTTGGAAAAAATGGAAATTTCTAGCCAAAAACGGAAAATTTGGTACAAATGTGTTATCTCTAGGATGGAAGACTTTTTTGTGTTTGGTTATGAGAGAATCACACAAAGCTCACAAATATGAGCTCAACCTAAAAACCCCGACCTCACTCTTCTGAGCTCTCTCTACATCTTTGTGTTTGAAATTGGAGCCCATAGTTATGAGGCTCAACCCAAAACTCCCAACCTCACTCTTCAGAACTCTCTATCGACTTTCCTCTCTTCGAAATTAGATCTCAACCCAAAAATCCACAATTCAAAGTTATCTCTCTACATCCCTCTCTTCGAATTCAGAAAAATGATGTCATCACTTGTGAGCTTTTACAATTTATGTGTGGGTATTTTTGTCATTACAATTTTTGTGCATGAGGAGCTAGAGTATGCATAGCTGGTTTGTCCTATTTTGGTCTCAAGAACAAGAAAATGCCATTTTTGTCAATTTCTCAAAATTTTAAGAGAGCTGCTAGACTCATCTCATTATCTTATAATCCCATGCATCTTAAAAGTTAAAAAGTTAAAATGTTATTTCCCCACCCATTATTATTCCAAAAATAATCTTTGATTATTATATATATGTGTAAAATTATTAAATTATCTACCCGCAAAGAAATAAATCTGTGCGAATAAGAACCACAGACGTATGCAAATTCTAGTGAAAAAGTTTGATGGTCTCTCTTGCAAATTCTAGTGAAAAAGTTTGGAGCTCGTTCGTCAGGTTTCTCAGGGGGTGACCCCACTGGCGACCTCGGCCCACTTCCTCAACTTGAGCATATTCTTCATTCCGCCGGCTTACTAAATATGTGTACGAGGGGGTTTTGCCTGCGACTGGTGAGAGATGAATTGATAGGAGACGAAGGCTAAAGAAGGAACGAGAGACTCAAACTTTCTGGGCATTAAAATTTTAGCAAATCACTTTGGATGATCTGCTGGCTTCGGGTCCAGGTACAAGTGAAGGCATTGCCCTTGAAGATCACGATCGAAGATATCTGAGGTTTCAAGCAGACGAGGCGTCTTTCCAAGATTACTGGTTGATCCCAAAGGCAAGGAAACCAATTCGTCTTGGTCGCGCATTAGGTGGATCCTGCAACTCTTGAATCCTTAGCATATGCCTTCTTACACATGAATCCCATATTGCTGTTATAACTTGGTATGCAGACAGATTCCGTATAGGAAAAACAAATCATAGACGGGAAGGTAAACTATGCAAGCATGTTTCTTCCCATGAGGTTGAAAGATAAACCACAAAATCACAGTCGCTGTAAGTTCAAAAACAGCATTATCTGTGGTCGTTGTGCTGCCTCCTTCAAAGTTTTTGAGATTTGTAGTCAGAGCCGTCTGTCGAGGGTCACTGCATACAAAGACATATGAAGTGAGAAGCTGAGCGCAGAATATGTATATTCAATACATGCACACATATTGAATGTAAGTAGTAGGTGAAACCATCTTCGTTCTCTCGGGTAAAGCATGATTTGTTTAAACAAAATCACAGTCCTAGATGAACATAGGCTTTCTAGTAGTTCAAAGCAAAAGGCAAACAGCTTGCCACGTTATATATGCAAAAAGAAATGAAAAGTACATAGAATTTTCAAGATTTGTCATGAGCAAAAAGCTTTTTGCATTCAATAGTATCACATCTGGTTCGGGCAGCTTCACCGTAATGCCTCGAATTTTCTTTGTTCCCTAAGATGGAGAAAATTGAAATATTGTTAACAAACCATGTCGTTTAGCTAACAAACAAACAGAAGGTCTGTTTTAAATTTTTGGTTTTCCTTTTCAATACCATGCCAAATCAAATGCAAGAACATATATTATACTTACTCTGTTTTCAGTTAGAACATAGTAGACATCTTTATGATCCCACAATCTACTTTGCTCGCCTGGTTCATTGGGCGATTCGTCACGAACTATACGCTTACCCATTTTTTCTAATAAGTCTTGCATCAAAATCCTATTACCTTCAATCGTTATGATGACATTCTCAACAAGTACTTCACTACAATCTTGAGGTACATTGAGCTTCGAACTTCTTATTATTTGTAAAACATAGTCTTATCTCTACCCTTAAAGAAACATGCAATGTCTAGGAAAACTTGTTGCAAGACATAATCCAGGGCATCATAACTTTTCAGAAGTATTCTTTGAATACCTTTATAAGGTTCTTTTTTGGAAGAATCGTAACTATCCAATATCGCTTGCCAACGATCTATACTTTTATTACGCATGTGAGAACATATAAGAGTAAGAGCAAATAGAAGGCCTTGAGCATAGGCTATTGCACGTCGTGCGAGTCTCAAATAATCATCTGAATGTTCTTTTCTTCCGAAGGCAATCAAACTTAAAAGCTCAAGAGCTTGGCCATCTTCTAACTGCTGGACCTTATATATCAACTCAACACCATAAGATTCCAGCAATCCTCACCGAGCAAATCAACTTCAACCAGGTTGTTTAAATGCTCCAATTCATCCATGTCATCAAGAATTAAGAGAATCTTCCTTTGCCTCAACAGTTTCTTTATAAGACTGATTCCTTCATAAACATCTACAGCTTTCAACTTTGTACCACAAAGAATTTTAAAAAGAAGAGTGTTTTGAAGTTGGATCATGCTTGCACGTGATGTTGATGCTTCTCTAACATTTGCCAGGAAACAGTTACCTTCAAACTTATGAGCAATTGCATTATAAACAGCTTTTACAATTGTTGTCTTGCCTATTCCTGATGTTCCCCATATCCCAACCACACAACGATCATTTCCTCCAACACCTAAAAGCTCTTTCACCTCTTGTACACAAGATTGTAGTCCAACTGGGTGTTTGGCCACATTCAAATATGTGCCATCAAGTACTCGGACTAAGATATCCTCAACAATGTTGCCTACAAATGTAGCTTCAGAGCTAGCAGTTAAAACAAATCACACAATTAATCAGTTAACTTTTTTTTTATTTTTTTTATTTTTTTATTTTTTTGTTGTTGTTGCTATATTTCAATGAAATGTGGGAATAAAAAAATGTAAAAACAAATAGACAAGAATATTGCACAATATTAAAAAAAAAAAAAAAGTTTGCAATGAATTCCAACTTTGAATTCAATCTATTTCAATTTATTTGACAGACCTTTGAATTCAATCTATTTCAATTTAATCTCTTTCAATTCAATTTCTTTCAATTTAAGTTTGCAATGAATTCCAACTTTGGATCCTCTTCAGATTCCAATTGGGGGTCCTCATCCAATTCTAAATTGGAAGAAAAATGGGCGCATATGAGATGAGAAGATGAGGAGTTTGATGAAGAAGATGAAGCATGGCGCAACACACAATATGTGGTAGCCATGGTGTGTCAGCCAATTGAGGAACAACCTTAATAGGGTGGCTCTGTTGCTGATCGCTCTTACAAACCACGAAACAGAGCGACAGGAAAATTCTTGATCAGTGAATTAAACGGAAAATAGACACATAGTTAATGGCAGAGCTAGGAAATTTTCACGGGGTGGGGCTAACTTAAAGATTTAAATCTTGTAAACAAAGAAAACCGATATTGTATTTTTCACAGTATCAGCTAGCTTAAGAAAATTTTCATAAGGTGAGCCAAGAATTTTTCGTTATTAAACAAATGTGTTAAAATTCAAACAAATTCAAACTTGAAACATATATGTACAAGAAGCGATAAGAAAGGATGTAAGAAATATAGATGGTTTGTAAACTATATTATATATTTTTATAATTAAATTGATTGAACTAGGATTAGTGACTAAATATATGGTGGATTACATTCGGAAATCAATGAAAATTACATGTAAAATTTTATTTTTCACTGAAAGCTATAGCCCATGGTAGCCTTTAATGTGGCTCCGCCAGTGCACACAGTTCAGAGAAAACCTAATCTACAAAACACAAAATCCCTAAACCTGTAAAACCCTAATTTATTCTTCAATACTAAATCCCTAAAATTGAATACCCTTTTTTTGAAGATTTGGAACA